CTGACAGCTCATCAGATGGGGACAGCCTGTCGTAGCGGTTGTGGTCCACAGATCGATGTCCTACTGGTAGTCCTCCTATCTCATATTTGCCACCGTTTTCATATATAATAACAGATGCATGGGCATGCCACATAAATAATATATCAGTTCTGGGACAGATTATCAGAGGCATTCTGCCACTGCTACAGCAAAGTGGCATATTGTTAAAGGAATATGGATAAATGTTGCCCTCCCTGTACATGTTGTTTATTTGAGCCAAAATATACAATTTTAGGGGGAATACAATCTGAATTACAAAATGTTTTCTATTTCTTGTTAATTCCATTTTTTTTTGTAAAATCTGTATGTATCAATTTTGCTATAGAATTGAGGTCGAGTTGGATGGGGCCAAACGAAAACTATTTCAGCAAAACCTTTGTTATACCACGAGTCATATATTCTGCCATCTTCACGTACTCAAAGACAATTTCTCTGTACATTAATGCACCTCAGTCAAGTGAGAAAAGCTATTAAAAAAATACATTGTATTCAACCCTGAAGGTAAAACTTTCAGCATGTTATACTTGGTATCGGCCAAGCTAAATAATTGGGCTTCTGCTTATCATTTAGAAACTTTTCTATTTTGCAAAATAATTGTTCAAAGGTTGCAGAGAGTGTTTGAGACTTGAACGCCACTAGTTTAAATTAAGTGAGAAAAAACCTGGAATACGTACAATACTGCTGTATATACAAACTAGGGTACTAGGGTAGGGAGTACTTACTTTGGGCTCACTGCTGTATATAATACAAACTAGGGTACTAGTGTAGGGAGCACTTACTTTGGGCTCCCTGCTGTATATAATACAAACTAGGGTACTAGTGTAGGGAGCACTTACTTTGGGCTCCCTGCTGTATATAATACAAACTAGGGTACTAGTGTACGGACCACCTACCTTGGGCTCACACTGCTGTATATAATACAAAGTAGGGTACTAGGGTAGGGAGCACTTACTTTGGGCTACCTGCTGTATATAATACAAACTAGGGTACTAGGGCAGGGAGCACTTACTTTGGGATCACTGCTGTATATGATACAAACTAGGGTTCTAGGGTAGGGAGCACTTTGGGATCACTGTTGTATATAATACAGACTAGGGTACTAGGGTAGGGAGCACTTACTTTTGGATCACTGCTGTATATAATACAAACTAGGGTACTAGGGCAGGGAGCACTTACTTTGGGATCACTGCTGTATATAATACAGACTAGGGTACTAGGGTAGGGAGCACTTTGGGAGCACTGCTGTATATAATACAAACTAGGGTACTAGTGTAGGGAGCACTTACTTTGGGCTCCCTGCTGTATATAATACAAACTAGGGTACTAGGGCAGGGAGCACTTACTTTGGGATCACTGCTGTATATGATACAAACTAGGGTTCTAGGGTAGGGAGCACTTTGGGATCACTGCTGAATATAAAACAAACTAGGGGACTAGGGAAGGGAGCACTTACTTTGGGCTCACACTGCTGTATATAATACAAAGTAGGGTACTAGGGTAGGGAGCACTTACTTTTGGATCACTGCTGTATATAATACAAACTAGGGTACTAGGGCAGGGAGCACTTTGGGATCACTGCTGTATATAATACAGACTAGGGTACTAGGGTAGGGAGCACTTACTTTTGGATCACTGCTGTATATAATACAAACTAGGGTACTAGGGCAGGGAGCACTTACTTTGGGATCACTGCTGTATATGATACAAACTAGGGTTCTAGGGTAGGGAGCACTTTGGGATCACTGCTGTACATAAGGGGGACTAGGGTACTAGGGTAGGGAGCACTTACTTTTGGATCACTGCTGTATATAATACAAACTAGGGTACTAGGGTAGTGAGCCCTTTCTGTGGGCTCATTGCTTTATATAATACAAACTAGGGTACTAGGGTAGCGAGCACTTACTTTGGGATCACTGCTGTATATAATACAGACTAGGGTACTAGGGTAGGGAGCACTTACTTTTGGATCACTGCTGTATATAATACAAACTAGGGTACTAGGGTAGGGAGCACTTTGGGATCACTGCTGTATATAATACAAACTAGGGTACTAGGGTAGGGAGCTCTTACTTTGGGCTCACTGCTGTATATAATACAAACTAGGGTACTAGGGTAGGGAGCACTTACTTTGGGATCACTGCTGTATATATTACAAACTAGGGTACTAGGGTAGGGAGCACTTACTTTGGGCTCACACTGTTGTATATAATACAAACTAGGGTACTAGGGTAGGGAGCACTTACTTTGGGATCACTGCTGTATATGATACAAACTAGGGTTCTAGGGTAGGGAGCACTTACTTTGGGCTCACTGCTGTATATAATACAAACTAGGGTACTAGGGTAGGGAGTACTTTGGGATGACAATATGAAGCATCATGACAACTGTCCTTTTTGTTTAATCTGAATATATTTACATATTTTAATATCAAATACACAATGAAATGTAAAGGCTTACTTTAATGAAACTGCCGCTGTATACTGGCACATAATAGACTTGATTTCGTGTCGATTTTATCAAATTTTATAAAGCCATAAAATGTATTTACCATTATAATAAATTGGATTTCACTTAAACAATACTGTAAAACTTGCTGGAGGTGAAATACGTATTGAATTTATCTAGGAATCTATCATTGTTGTGGTGTAGTGTTGTTCACAACCACATGTATAGATGGCTATTGAACATACCTTAATAAATGGACTTTTATCACCTCGGCCGAGCTATTGTACAAGTCAACTTGCTTTGTGTTCCCGACTGATTAATGTCCTCGAGACCTTTTCATACCAAAGATCATTCAGAAAGGTGTTATCGTTTTAATTTAAAATGAAATGGCTGCGATGTTCCAAAACATGACATACTTGTTTGTATTAATACCATCAGGTTTGTTTTAAAAATTTCACAAAACTTTTATTTTTAGATTTTTCATAACAGAAGTTTTGTCTATTCTACACAAACTATTTCTTTCTAATAAAAGTCAGGGAAAAGAATTATTTGCATGCCAATATTTCAAGCAGACAAGACATTTTCTAACAGGTTGTTCAGTTATTCATATGTCGGCATGATATGAAGGCTTTCATGTTCAATTTGAATTGGTAACTTAATTACATATCAAGTAAGATTTTTTGTGTAGAAATAACTGAAATTGTTATTAATAGGTTTTTTAAACAGATATTCTGTTGTGCTGAATAGTTTTTGACACGTCCATGTTTAAAAGATCTGAAAGCTTATTGATTTTTCTTGGCCTTCAAACGAATTTGGTTATAATTAAATCCTTCATACATTTTTACAAGATGTCTTATTGATTATGTAAATGATTGAGTTATTGTGTGAAATTTCTTGCATAAATGCATTTTGTGAATTACATGTAATTTTGCGATAAATGCATACAGTAACTCATAGGCCATACATACATAAGTATACATATAAGTTCCAATATCATTTTGTTACACAACAGTAGTTGTCTGTACCTGACAATAAATGCATTTTTGAACAGTTCAGAAGTGAGTTGTATAGAATATCTTTTTCTTAGTTTCAACAATTGGTTTTTGATAATGCATGTGTGGGTGGTTGAGTGAGTGGTGCACATGTCCAGTAAAATATTTGAAATAAAAATTACCAACAAAATATTTGTTGATAAACGGAAGGAAATGAAAACACCCATATTACTTAAACTACTCTATCCCAGTTGTGTGAGGTAAGAAACTCCTGCTGAAGCTGTTTATCATATTGAAATGCAGTAAGAATGAAAGGTACCAGGGTGCTATAAAACTATAATATGAAATATTACAGGTGAAAGATTTGATAACAGACACACCCTATACCAATCCTCTCTATAATCCCTGTACTTATATATGAACATACATCAATACACAGGTACTTGTCACATCAATACACAGGTACTTGTCACATCAATACACAGGTACTTGTCACAATTTTCTTTTCTACAGAGTGCTAACTTAAACTAAGTGTGTGTATAATTATATAGCAACCATTAGGAAAAATAAATTGTGCCTTTGCATCAGTATATGCCACGTATGGTAAATTATGAACAGATGCTGGGATCTTCAAATTACATGAATATATATAAATGAGAGTGTTATGTGATATTGATATGTGACACTGAAATACAATAAATTGTATTGTATTATGAAATTGTTATTCAGGGAATCTCAATTATTGCCACATACAATTGATTGATTTGAAAATTTACGGATACAAAAACTATACACTATATATTTACTTTGTCATCTAATATGAAACTTGATACGGCAGTCCCCTGCTGATCTTACATAATAAGGTCATGGTTTACATTGGATCAACACCGGACTGTTCAACTCTCCAAATATTACTGTATCTAATCACAATGCTGATTGAAACGTTTAAACATTGTATTGGTTCAATCTAAACACTGTAGTGTCACCCCCTACTCTCGCTGTGATTACAAAATTGAAATTAAACCTCGAGCTGGTCCCATTTACACCGACTCCCACCAATGGAAGTTGTTCTACCTCAAATAAGTTTAAACAGTGTCAAATTTATTAAGTACAATCAGACGAATTTAATCGGGTAAAGAGATTATCTGAATTCCCAATAACTCAGCCCACCGTTGATAATGAACAAAAACTCTCCATTGAACCAAACAATCGTCTACGTTCAATATTAGTTCAGTAAGCCCGTGTATATATTGGCTAGCGAAAAAAATAACTTCCCGAGTTCAGTTTTATTACAAGAACTACTGTTGCAGACATTTATATAAACGATAGGAAATACGATTATATTATTACAGCAAGTATCATTATCATCGTCTTCTCTTCGCTCAAATTATCCTATCAATTAGTGGCTCACCTGTCGTAATTAGCGGGTGATGCTCTTGCGTCACAGAATACCAGCCATTAAAATTTGACGCACAATACATTTTAGAAAGTGTTATTATTCCAAGTATAATAGAGATCACTTACCTGACATTTTCAGTTTAAATCCCGTCACCCGAAGACGCACAGACGGAAAGTATTAACTGTGCAACACACACATGGCCATAGACGAGAGCGAAGGGAAAGTACAGAAATAGCGCGCGTAGCAACGACCCCTGACCCCAATAAACCATGTGACGTCACAATTGACAGAAAGCATATAATTCTCGTGTGTTGGCATGCAATATCGATTCGGATCTGGGTAGAGGTGGATGAACGTGACTGTGATTATCGAATATGCTACTTTTGAAGGAAATAACACTGTCAATTAATTAAGATTTTATTTATTTAGTGAAAATGTTTGCGTGTATCAATCTGTGTCCACGAGTAACGGTGATAGTTTTTAATATAGACAATAAAATTCTGACGCCCCGACATTTAGGACCCACCCGTTATATGTGACTAACGTTTCCTGTACATAGCGGTAATATAGATCATATTGATCAGTGGATATGGAAGTTACTTTAAAAGTGTATACAAACACGCTTTTGTATGAAACACATCGCTGATACAAAACATTAACAGATTTTGCTATTGAGCAGTATTTTTAACCTGATTAGATGCAAAAATGGGATAATATGTGCTGTTTTTGTTAATTCCATACGTCGGTTTTTTATTTGAAACCCGATGGAATGACTGTTTAAAAAAATACCATCAATCTCGTGATAAAATCATGTCTGTTCTTGAAAGCGTTGAAAGTTTTTCGCGGGAATACTTTTGAACTCGTGTCACCTCTTTTAAACAACGGTGTATATTAACGGTACAACGAGTATATTAACGGTACAACGGTGTATATTAACGGTACAACGGTGTATATTAACGGTACAACGAGTATTGAAAATCATTCGCTCAATTAACGTGATCTGTACAAATTACGCGATGACTTGAATTTTAGGGAAAATGCCTGTAGCTTCTTTTCTGTGTGTCATTTCTATACTCGTACTGTCACCGCCATATTTCAACAACTTAAATATGTTACATGTATAATACAATTGAGACTACTACTGTTTTATGATGAGGTCCAAATTTTGGATGTAAATGTGAGACATGTATTAAATGCAGCGAAACATTGAGAAATTCTTAACGTGATTTACAGAATAAGAAATAATAAGAAATTAGACATAATGTGTTATATTGGAAAAGGAATCTTTTATTATTGAAATTTTGACAGGAGATAGCTTCATGAGTTGTAATAACTCTATATATAATTCGGTTTAAGTCAATTGGCTGGGCAACTATTCAATCAGCATTCAAACTGACTTCCTCAAGCCACGCCCCATTTTAATCTGCTCCAGTTGTCGTTATATATCTAGAACACACTATGAATTGTTTAAACATCGCCATGTTCGTGTTGGACACCATGCACGAAATGAAGAAACCATACGTTTATATCATATATATCTAAAAACTGTCTCCATATGGATGTCAATTAACTGAAATGTACCGTGCCTCGTTAGTTAATATAGATCTATATATTCTGTCATACACAGACCAATGAGATCGCGCATCTATGAAATCAATACACGTCAAGTTTTCCTGTTAAACCTCGATATATTGCCACCATGGGTGGTTTTGGCAATTAATAAAATGGTCAATAAGACAGAAACTATGGACATAATATAGATGTTTCAAGGTTTTCATATCGAGGTTTTATCGTAAAGTGAGGGACATTACATAGAGACTGTTCTGAACATCGTTTTTTTTTCATACAGACAGTTACATGTGTTTTAGGCGTTTTTATAGTTATTGGTACAGGTCAAACCCTCGCTCCATAGAAATTTTAAAAATAATGACATTACAAAGTAGGCATACAATTCATGATACCTATGCTTACTTCCTTACCATTAATGAAAATATTCAAAATAATACGAGAAATAATTACCCGTAATTATCTAACAATGCATATACGTAGATAATTAAACTGACGTCATAGAGTATATGTCGTCATGTATGTGATTGGTATAAATGTTTGTGACGTAAAAACCATTGTTTCGTGTCACCTTGACCACAGTCTGTTTCGTGTGTTGTAGACGTACAGCCGGAGGAGGGAGTGACCACACCCAAACGCCGGACAATAGAAATGGGCGTCGTACAGAGACACGACACCCGGAAACGCCGAGCCAAACGTAGAAATGGTCACTTTACCACACCCCCGGGACGAGTCCCCACCCCCGCCAAGCGTAGCGGCAACAAATCTGAAGGTAAGCCACTTTACAATCTCTTCTTGAGAGACATGAACACATTGATGTTAATAACTATCATTTCTTTTGCATATTTATTTTTTAGATACTTCAAAAATAAGAGGAGTACGTAGACGAAATGAGTTTGTTTATTCTTGACCAATCCGCCAGGGTGGTTAGGACATGTACGGTGTGGGTTCGTCCGTTCTTTTTGTCCGTGCAACTACTCCTTCACTTTTCTTACACTTTCCACGAAACTTTAGTTCATTGGGCTATAATAACCAATTATTCTATACAAGATCATGATTGCTCCAGGCAATATGCTCCCTAGTTACCGTCTGATTTTGCTTGGGTTTATCGTTATCATGTGTATTTATGCCTGTGTTTCAGACTAAATCATTTGCTTAAAAATTACAGAGTTATTGGTCTTTGGTCTTTGGATCTGTAGTTTTTATGTAAAATTGTTCGCAGTGTCCGAATTTACCGTCTTTCGTCTAGGGTTAAAATGTCACTGTTGCATCGTTAACTAATGAATGGTTTGCTGTAATATTTGCATATTAATCTTGCTGCACGCCGTTGTATATTTTCAAACCGGTCAATATATTTTTGCATGATGGTCCAATAAGATAGCGTTGCTATATTCCAAAACTGAGCGAACAAGAGTGATGTAGGCACTTTTCCTTAATGTCGTTGGGCAGACTTTTAAATTCTCCTTAGAAATCCTTCTGTAGAATTTGCTCTGTTTGTTATTGTGTTGATATATTCTGAGGAAACTTGGTATTTATCATGGGAAGGTGCCGTGTTTCACACCAACGTAAGGTCATCATTAACTCTTCTGGCCATTCAACTCACATCTAGAGGATTTTACAAAGCATATTTTGGCCGCTGTTTCAATCATATATATCACAGTCGAGAAAGGGATGCGTCTTTTACCAAAATGGGAACACCAGAACGCTATTTGACATTGACTTCAGGTACCGAAATACATATCTCAGCGAAAGATTGATATATGAATATCATACTTGGTGTACCTGCATCATGGTCAAGTGGCGAATCGCTTACCAAAAAGTCTGGCATATCAAGTCACTGATTTTAGACTAAAATTTTGATACTTACTCTTTTTCTAACCTTAAAAAGATTATCTAATTGCACTGCTTCCTGAAACTGGACATACTTAAAACAGATATGTCATTTTTATTTCGGTAACATTTTTCGTCCCTTGCTGTTGACAGATATTTCGTGGCACAAAGTAAAGAGAAAGCTACACTTCGGACGAGTGCCACCCCGACCGCGGTCCAACTCCAGTTCACAGCCCGCCAGAAGTTTGGTATGATACAAGGGAGACAACTCTTTAATACTGTATAACTTTTTAGCTCATTATGTCATGGTGTGGCGTCCGTCGTCCAGTGTCGACAGTCAACTTTTCCTTCAGGCCTTAAGTCATGATATTTGGCTGAAAGCTGTTGGTAGGGGCCTGACAAAGTTTGAGAATGAAAATGACCTCGTTCTACTTTCAAGGTCACAGGGGTCAAATATCTCAAACACTTCAAACACTTCAAACGACTTCTTCTAAAGAACTGAAAGGTATAGAATCTTCATATTTGGCTGGTAGCTTCCTGGGATAGAGCCCGACAAAGTTTGAGAATGAAAATGACCTTGACCTACTTTCAAGGTCTCGGGGTCAAATGTGTCAAACACTGCAAACGACTTCTCCTAAACTAAAAGGTATAAAATCTTCATATTTGGTTGGTGGTTTCCTGGGATAGAGCCCGACAAAGTTTGGGAGTGAAATATTTATATTACAGGATAATATTTAATAAGAATATTTTGCTATAACTGCTTAAATATTCAGGTGAGTGATACAGGCCCTCTGGGCCTCTTGTTATTTTAACTAGCAAAACTGCATCATTTGGCATTATATGGGTTTGGGTTTGGCAATATATTTAGAGGAGCATAAAAGTTTAGGAAAAGGGGACATTGAGTTATGCTGGTAGGTTGGAAATTAGATTGTATAAAAAATATTAACTTTACTTATTTTACGACAATTATGAAGCAAATTATATAAATTATGTCAATCACTATTTTTGGCCCAATGTTAGCGCGCAAAGGGTGTTAATGTGGAAGGAAACAGGAGTGGCCAGAGAAAACACACATAGTCGGCCAGGTGACCTCATGCCTTTTTATTGTATTAAAGGTTGATATGAAAAAACCTTTATATCGTGGTTCAATTTCATATAAGTTAGGGGCCCAAGTTTTTACTGCATATTAATTGGGGGAAAAGGGGGGGGGCATTATATCAAGGTTTACTGTATATTGAGAGATATTATATATGTATATTGCGTTTTTATTTTATAATGAGGTGTATTCAATTACGGGTTTCCTCAAGCTGAATAGATACCAGGAGGTTGTATCAAGGTTTTAGTGTTCATAAACAAGAGATTTTTACTATACATCCTATCTGAAGTTTTTTCAAGGTCACAAATGTCATGACATCAATTTTATAATTCAGAGACTTCAAAAGGCCAAGCGGAATGTTTCTCCTGGAAAGTCTGCCACTTACGGTGTCGCCCATAAACCTGGCTTGTCACGGGAACTGCATCATCTGCTCAACATGACATCAGCTTGGGTTGTTCCTGTACGACTAAGGTCAACCTTCAAAAACTGGTGTCATTGTCCTGGAGACCGACCGAAGCAGCATGGATGTAAACTCCACTCATCTCATGAACTCACAAACGTGAAAATCACCAATAACTGCCAGCACCCTGAATGTCAACAGCATTTATTACACAAACAAAACTCAACTTTGAGAAGCTTGCGAATCTCCAGAAGAAGTCAAAATAGCGGTTACAAACTCCATTCCTCCCAGGAACACACGAGCCTTGTGAAACTCTCTCACAGGAGTCACTAGTTGTACCGTCTGGCTGGAATAGACAGATATAGTGCTGAATGTGTTTAATGAATATTTCTCAGGCAGGACTAGAAATTCCAGTAGGCATTTCTCTAAAACGAAATCTATGTAGCAGACTGTTTTAAAAGTGGTTAAGTATCCAGTTTGGTATAAGATATTGTTAGAGTTATTGTACACTGATGCAGCTAGATCAGAGCTTTTGTAAAAGAGTGTTAAGTTTAAAGTGAGATGTTTGTTTTCTGTTTCAAAGTTAAAAAAATCTGCTAGTGAGGATATTTTAAGGATGCATCATAGAGATCTTCATGATATCTAGATTAAAATTCTTCAGGTATGTTTGTTTAAAACGATAAAATTGTATTGGTGATTCTCTTTAGCCAGGAATATGGATGTTTAGATTGATACATTTGTAAATTAACATGTTTGGACAATTTAAATTTGATTTCCCTGTTAAAATCATTGTTGTAATTGGTAGTTGTGCTGGATTTGTAGAACATCAATTTTCACCTTTTTCAGAAGTCTTTTGCTGAATACAAGTTTTGCAGCCTGTCAGTCTTGTTTCATTTAGAAAATAAATCATGATTCAAAGTTTAGGTTTAACAGTGTAACACAGACATGTACACATACCTGACCACTATTTGTGTCTATAACATGTGGTGCTTCTGTTTCTCATAATGTTCCGTTTTGAAAGATGTATTCGGTGAGAATAAATTTCCTTGTCATATATTGAATCCTATCTGTTATAATGTCTATATGATGATTTGATTTGTTGAGATTTTGTTGAGATTTATTTACAAGCTATATATCTATTGTTAACTTGGTGATCACAGAGAAGAAATGTTTGCCTTTTTTCTTCTTCCTTAAGCTGAGGTTTGAGTCTGTATATATTGAGATGATGTAAAGATAAAGTTGCCATATATTATTTAGATGATTCATGCATGACTATTTGATGTTACCCAAATCAGTTGACATGTTGTCAGTAGATTTAAGATAATTATTGCGTGTTAGTTGGATAAGTTTACTATCCAATAATGTTTATTACCAGTAGGGAGGGCCAGTGCACGCTTTTAATTCTACTACAGTATAACTTCTATATCATAAAAAATGGACTATTAACTGTATTAAAATTAGGATATTTGTCCCATAATCAGCATAACCTGGTAGAACTTCAATAGAAATAAGATAGTGTTATTCATGATTGCTGCTTATCAAAAATTAGCTAATGATTTAAAACATGTCAGAAGTAAATTATAAGTTAAGTCTTGTAAATATTACTGCAGCCACCACTAATCAGATAAACCCAGTATCCCACCAGTGTTTCGGACTGTCACAATTTAGCCGTTTTTTTTTTTGGAAATAGAGATGACAGCAGCATCAATGCTTAAAAGTGTAGGATGTCAGATTTTTTTTTACATACCGGTATTTTGAATTGAATGATTTCCAGCATGAACAAGTCGTACAACAAATTGTCTTTCTCTGTTACCCTTTTAGAAAATACATAATGAAAAACTATTTGTAGGCAATATTGTACCTGCAATGTGCATCAATTTTTGATCTATAAAGTATCAACTGTGTATTAAACTATAGATACACACTTTTTCACAGAAATGTCAATTTTCAGTTTTGAAATAATTAAATTTTGTACCTATTGTAGTTTTTTTGGCATAATGTAAATGTAATACATTCTTCATTGTAAACATGGAAATTATACTCAAACCTTTTCTTTTTAGTTGAAGTCTGTGTCTGAACTGCTTTTAAATGATACATATTGTCACATTAATAGTGAGTAAGTAAAAGTTATCTCCCTTCTTTCAAAGTTTGATTTTCATCGATTTCCACCAAACAGTGGAAGTAGTTTTATGTTATGATCGATTGCATGCTTTACAGAGATTAGATAACTCTACATTTACATGTTTTACAGCTGAATAAAAATATGTTTAAAGATTTTCAAGATTCTTGTTTTAATTTCCAGCAATTAAATTGCAGCAAGTTTAGCCATCGTTGTAAAATAAATGTGTACACACCTAACAGGTTTGTTAGGTTATTGATCTTGAGACACCAGTGCAGACAATGTTTAAGATGTAGATAGAGCTCTTGAAAAGCCTTTGGAAACTGGTTGGAATAAAATGTATGTACTCTTATGTCGGTACATGTACAAATGTATAACATTTCAAGTACAAGCTTTCGGGATACAAGTTTCTGGTTCACCTTGACTTGGCCTATAACCCAACCGGAAATATTCAATATATCTCTCAAATCCACACTTTCACTGTATAATGAGCTAATAACCTCAACAATGGCCAACCCAAAAATAAATTATAAATATAACATGCATTTTAATATATAATAAAAAATATTCTAAATTTTACTTCCCATTACATATTATGCAATGTGTACATGTGTGATGCCAGAGTTAGATCCGTAGTGTCCCACACCTCTGACATAAATTACAAATTTACGAGCACATTTACACTTTAACTCCTACTTTATCCATTAATACATAACACATGTTTACTCTATATAAATCTGCACTTTGATCATTCAAATAACAATTCACATCTCAATTCACACATTCAAAAGCATATGTTTTTAGCAGATTTTCACATTAAACATCAATATTTTACTTACTAACAGTTAATACATAACATAAATTGTACTCTATGAGTGAAAAGGAAAGTAATGTCTTTGAAAGACTAAAAATATTTATTTATTCAGGTAAAATAGGCATGTTATTACAAGATATCACAATTTAGAATAAAATATATAATTAAAATCACATTGCATCTTGTAAATAAAAAAGAGTATTTTGTATTAAGACTGAGAATAATAATAATAGATCTGACCTAACAAAAGTTTTTTTTTAATTCAATCTTTGACATATATCACAGAGTATAAAAATCTAAAAAAGTCTGATACACTGTAAAAAAAGGCAGATATTACTATAATATGAGACAAAATGAGACGGACTATTTTAATAAATGAAGGTATTTATAAATAAAAAATAGATCGCATAATAGGAGTGGTGGTGATTGCCATTTACCTAGGATTACCCATAAAGCCACAAAGTAGCTTATTTCCAATGGGGTCCTTTAAAAATGGAAGAAAAATAATAAAAATTAAGAAAATCAATCCGGTGACGGTTCAGATAGCACAGAATAGGATATGTGTGTATCATATTCGATAATTAATCAGTAAAATTGTATTTCCTATATAGAAAACAATACATAATAAGTATTTTGTAGTGGCAGACAGCTTCTTATAGTAGCAAACTATAGAATATTTTACATAGTTATTTTCAAAGATATCAAAATATAACAAATATACTGACAGATCTTTGCATTACAGTTTCTAGGCATGAAAACTTGAAATTTGAAATCATTGTGCAATGCCGCAAGTCAAGCTTTCCAAGGGTTGGGGGTCCCCCTACCAGCGTCCCCCTACCAGCGAGGTCTGCTCGACCTGCGCAATTTTTCAGGTCTGTATATGTATTTTGTGACAAAAGAATGAAAATGTAATACATGTGTGCTCACTAGTAGACAAAGAGATCATCCACTATATTTTTTGCTTGAAGCATAAGGTGTTTTTTAGAATTGGTTTTGAATTTATGTTTGCTTTTGATATTTTTGATATCATCCGGTCAAGAGTTCCAATCTTTAGCAGCCGAAAAGAAAAAAGTAGATGTTTCTGTACCCTTGACATTTTTAATAGCGAAATTTGAGTTTCCGGATCTATAGTACCGTAGGTGTTATTGTTTTTGGTGAAAAATTCATGCATATACTGAGGGCACTTCTCATTAAAAATGTTAAATGCATGATTTAAACGAAGTTGACGAACTCTTCCCTCTACATTGAGCATACTAATTTTTTGTAGTTCAGTACATGTAATTCTTGTCCTGTTGTTTAAGTTCAGAATGAAACGGACCATTTTATTTTGGGTTATTTGTAACTTATTTTTATATAAATTAGAAAGACCCTCATACCAGGATGAACAAGCATAATCGAAATGACATTGTATGAGAGCTGAACATAGAGTTTTTCGTAATTTTTGGGATAGACAGTTACTATTTCTGTAAAGGAATTTTAGTCTTTGATTGATTTTTTGTATGACATTGGAGACAATTTCTTCTCCAGACAAAAATCTGTCAATCATCACCCCAAGGTATTTTACAGCCGAATGAGAATTAATAATTTGACCTTTGCAAGAAACCTGAAATTTATCCTCAGGTGTTTGAATTAATTTTCATTTTGGACCAAAAAGGATACATTCTGTTTTTCCCAGATGTAATGATAATTTATTGTCAACAAGCCAATCATGACAGGATTCCAAAACCAAGGAGATTTAAGAAGAAATTGTTTCAGGGCATTTATGTGAGAATATAATAGCACTGTCATCCGCATAGAGAAGTAATTTACATGAATTTTCAATACTTATTTCCATGTCATTGATGTACACCAAAAATAAAAGTGGTCCCAACAAACTTCCTTGAGGAACCCTGCAGTTGACATTACCAACTGACGAGTGTACCCCATTAACACTGACTAGTTGAGATCTACTTTCTAAATAAGATTTGAACCAGTTGCAGGACTCGACACCAATAAACTTTAATTTGTTACACAATATAGAATGATTTACTGTATCAAAAGCTTTTCGTAGGTCTTACAAGACCATACCAGTGAATAAACCTTTTGACGTTTTGAGATTTTATATAGTCCATGAGATAGATCAAACAGGAGTCAGTAGAGTATGATTTCCTGAAGCCTGATTGAAATTCATACAATAGGTTATTTTTAACAAGAACATTTTCTAATTGGTTGTAGACTGCTTTTTCTAAAAAAAAAATGATACAATATTGAGGATGCTCACAGGTCTATAGTTTTCTGCCTGAAGTCTATCCTTCTTTTTGAATAAAGGGATAACTTTTGCAGTTTTAAGATCGTCAGGTACTATACCCTCAGATATGGATGAATTTATTAAAAAGGTGATAGGAATTTTGATTATTGGTGCCGCATCCCGCAATAATCTGGCAGGAATTTGATCTAAACCTGTACTTTTACATATATTTAAATTGGATAACTCCCTATACACAAACTCTTCTGAGACATGATGAAGATGAAATTTAATCCCTTTCGGGTTTCGTTTAGTATAAAAATCCCTAGACAACTTTGATGTATAATGGTATAAGCGTTTACACAATGGAAGTTTTTCAACCAATTTAGAAGCAACAGTATTAAACTATTTGTTAAAATGGTTGGCTATTGTAATGTCATCATGACAGTTTACACCATTAATATTGAGAATTGTTTTGGGGTTTGATTTCTTACTCCTTTCATATCCCAGGCCCTTAAATTGTCAGAGGTCAGTTCATGAAAATTAAAAGCAATATACCCTGGTACATGTATATTGATATATCTACTATATTCTACATCTACTAGCACACTGACATTAAAAGACAGTCTAGACCTCACAGCTTCTAGGTGGAGTGCAACCAGCACACCAGTATTAAAAGACAGTCTTGACCTCACAGCTTCTAGCTATAGGTGGAGTGCAACCAGTGCACCAGTATTAAAAGATAGTCTAGGCCTCACAGCTTCTAGGTGGCGTTCAACCAGTACACCAGTATTCAAAGACAGTCTAGACCTCACCGATTCTAGGTGAATTGCAACCAGTACACCAGTCTTAAAAGATAGTCTAGACCTCACAGCTTCTAGCTATAGGTGGAGTGCAACCAGTACCCCAGTATTAAAAGACAGTCTTGACCTCACAGCTTCTAGCTATAGGTGGAGTGCAACCAGTACACCAGTATTAAAAGACAGTCTAGACCTCACAGCTTCTAGGTGAATTGCAACCAGTACACCAGTATTAAAAGACAGTCTAAGCCTCACAGCTTCTAGGTGGAGTGCAACCAGTACACCAGTATTAAAAGCCAGTCTAGACCTCACAGCTTCTAGGTGAATTGCAACCAGTACACCAGTATTAAAAGACAGTCTAGACCTCACAGCTTCTAGGCGGATAGCAACCAGTACACCAGTATTAAAAGACAGTCTAGACCTCACAGCTTCTAGGTAGAGTGCAACAAGTACACCAGTATTAAAAGACAGTCTAGACCTCACAGCTTCTAGCTATAGGTGGAGTGCAACCAGTACACTAGTATTAAAAGACAGTCTAGACCTCACAGCTTCTAGGTGGAGTGCAACCAGTACACTAGTATTAAAAGCCAGTCTAGACCTCACAGCTTCTGGGTGGAGTGCAACGTCTACCAGTATATTGCAATTAAAAAACAGCCTAAACCTCATAGCTGACAGGATAAAATTCAATGTCTATGAATATTGGTATTCGAAGACAGTTTAGAACAACAACTACAGTACCAATATACCTGTATTATATTTGAATAGTGGCTTTATAACACTGGCAGATTCAATTGCAGTATTGAGAATATCTTTGCCAGAAGAAGCCAACTGATGGTGGGTATGTATGATTTCATATACAGTCAACTGAAGGCTGGTTGTTTTTGAAGAACAGACGGAACTCATCTAAAGTTGAAAAACTCTCGAGCGTTTTGGTAGGCAGCTGAAGCGAGGTTCTTCGGCGGGCAGTCCATGCAGGAGGCCACAATCTCAAGTAAGACAGCCAAATTTCCAGGATCACTGTCCAGGTCATCACTGGAGTTCGACTCATACCTATTTACAGTACTTTCCTTGAGATATCTTATCTCGTCAGGCTTCATTCTGCTACAGTATTCCTCATATTCTATATTTGGCACGAGAGTGGATGGAGCATTGCTGGCCAATATAATCTTGTGTGGAGAAATAAAACCTTTCTTCAGCCAGTCCTTAAACCAACTCTTCTCATAGCCACTCGCCTCTTTGGAAATTGCTAAAAAATCAAATGATAAATAAAAATAAAGTGAAAATCTGGAAATTTCTTTTTCAGAACATGTAAAATCTGGTCTGTGTAACACATAATATAAGGTAATGTGCATGTAGACCCAGTCCCTGACAAAAACTTTTTTTTCAATTACATGTACTCTTTATCTTACTGAAACCTAGATAAGTCTATTTTAAAGGTTAATTACATTAATATTTTCCCATTATGATTTAAGTGGAATCTGTGAAATGGTGTACGTACACTGTGGATCTTGATATCACTGTGCTAATGTTTGGTTTAAATCTGCCCAAGTACACTTTCTTTTTGCTTTTGTATGTTTAAACATGGGAAATAATTTATAAGCTATATAGTTTCTTATTTTCCCCAAAAAAGTTTAAAAAAAAATTATATGGCAATTACTAATAATGGTGCTGCTTATAGGTGGATTGAAAGTAATTTGAACAAAATTTATTGATTGATTCATTTCAGCAAAAAATATTTTCCAGAATCTTTTTGAGTGTTTATCAGGTAGTGCCCAAAAAATAAATTACAATTAGAAAAACAAATTGCAAAAAATAATAACTGTCTTTTCATGCCATGGAAAGCAATATGCTGGTGTTATTTCACCATGTTTCAAAATACCATACTGCACAGAGTGTCAGGCTTATAGAAATCTACCCCCGAGCCTGTTTGCCACCATATAAGAGCTGAACCTGCCCTAATCAGCATATTATGGCTTGATTTGTTTGTTATGTTTTTTATTGATTTAAATATCCTCGTAACAACCAGGGTTATATGAAGACTGGTTATGGCTTAAAACTTGCAATACCTCGAAGCCTTATAGGCATTTTGAAATATTCCTTCATACCCAAACTTACACGAGACAGACACAAAGCATCCCATATCTAGAAGCTCCCAAAGTTGTGGTATTCTCGGGAGAAATTTCTCCACCTTTGATGGTATGTACTCTCCAACACACATTGCTTTCAGCTGACCACTGTACTCGCGTAAGATTGGAATCAGTGTGTTGTCAGCTCCAATTGAGCAAAACCACAAAGGTTTTCGAAGTTTACATGCCAACTCAATCTGAAACAAAAAATGCCTGTCACACACAATATCAAGACTATATTGATACTTGCATCAATCCCTGGACTATAATTTATTGTGTAAAGGAAAGAGCCAATATGTTCACTACAACACTGGCTGGTGGGACAAGTGGATTAGTGGTGGCTGGATAGTAGAACAACTGGGTTTGCTGTGGCCATGGCTGGATTAATGAAGCTAGAGAGTGGTATAAATGGATTAGTTCAATGGTGTTTGGATCAATGAGGCTAGAGAGTGGGACAATGGATTAGTTCTATGGTGGCTGGATCAATGAGACTAGAGAGTGGTATAAATAGATTAGTTCTATGGTGGCTGGATCAATGAGGCTGGTGAGTGGTATAAATGATTAGTTCTATGGTGGTTGGAACAATGAGGCTAGAGAGTGGTATAAATGGATTAGTTCTATGGTGGTTGGATCAATGAGGCTAGAGAGTGAGACAATGGATTAGTTCTATGGTGGCTGGATCAATGAGGCTAGAGAGTGGTATAAATGGATTAGTTCTATGGTGGTTGGATCAATGAGGCTAGAGAGTGGGACAAATGGATTAGTTCTATGGTAGCTGGATCAATGAGGCTGGAGAGTGGTATAAATAAATTAGTTCTATGGTGGCTGGATCAATAAGGCTAGAGAGTGCTTGAACTGGATTAGTTCTATGGTGGCTGGATCAATAAGGCTAGAGAGTGCTTTAACTGGATTAGTTCTATGGTAGCTGGATCAATGAGGCTAGAGAGTGGTATGAATTAATTAGTTCTATGGTGGCTGGATCAATGAGGCTGGTGAGTGGCATAAATGGATTAGTTCTAAGGTGGCTGGATCAATGAGGCTAGAGAGTGGGACAAATGGATTATAATAGTTCTATGGTGGCTGGATCAATGAGGCTGGAGAGTGGTATAAATAGATTAGTTCTATGGTGGCTGGATCAATAAGGCTAGAGAGTGCTTCAACTGGATTAGTTCTATGGTAGCTGGATCAATAAGGCTAGAGAGTGCTTTAACTGGATTAGTTCTATGGTAGCTGGATCAATGAGGCTGGAGAGTGGTATGAATTAATTACTTGTATGGTGGATGGATCAATGAGGCTAGTGAGTGGTATAAATGGATTAGTTCTAAGGTTGCTGGTTCAATGAGGCTATAGAGTGGGACAAATGGATTAGTTCTATGGTGGCTGGGTCAATGAGGCTGGTGAATGGTATAAATGGATTAGTTCTATGGTAGCTGGATCAATGAGGCTGGAGAGGGGTATAAATTAATTAGTTCTATGGTAGCTGGGTCAATGAGGCTAGTGAGTGGTATAAATGGATTAGTTCTAAGGTTGCTGGCTCAATGAGGCTAGGGAGTGGTATAAATTAATTAGTTCTATGGTGGCTGGGTCAATGAGGCTGGTGAATGGTATAAATGGATTAGTTCTATGGTAGCTGGATCAATGAGGCTAGAGAGTGGTATAAATTAATTAGTTCTATGGTGGCTAAATTTAAGAGGCCAGAGAGTGAGATAACTGGATATGTTCTATAGTGGCTGGATTAAAAAGGCTGGTATGTGGGACAATGTCTATGGTGACTTGATTGATCAGGTTTTACTATGTAGTCTAACACTAAAACAAGTGGTGGCTGATCACAACAAATAACATTTGGAATGTCGTGTTACTGTAATGCTGACTTCAACACAAGAGCTTTTTGGAATACATTGTATATACTGAATAGACATTGACATTTTATTGCCATGAAAAAATTAAAGTAATATATCAAAAAAATCATACCTTTGTAATAGAGTAATTGATTCTAGCAAGAAATGTCCATATATCCTAGAATAACTTACCTGTTGTCTGAACATCTTGATCTCTTTCTCAGTGTTGGTCCCTGGCAAATCGAGGCCACACTCACCAATAGCCAAACACTGTGAATGCTCAGCATACGTTTCTAGCACAGCCAGACTGTCCTCATCCCACTGGTCAACTTTAGATGGGTGAACACCTACAATAGTAAGACCAAAATATTGATTATGAGGAAAGTATTTAAACAAAACAATGTTTTCCATTCTTTTGCTTATTTCAGGTACACCTGTCTATAAAGAACTCCTGTAGTTACAGACAACCTGTCTATAACTATCACTGATGTTAAAGACAACCTGTACATAACCAAGATCTGTAACTTTCACCTTTCTATATCTACCACCCATCTACAACCACTTGTCTATAGCTAACACCTGTCTATAAAGAACTCCTGTAGTTACAGACCACCTGTCTATAACTATCACTGATGTTAAAGACAACCTGTACATAACCACGATCTGTAACTTTAACCTTTCTATATCTACCACCCATCTACAACCACTTGTCTATAGCTAACACCTGTCTATAAAGAACTCCTGTAGTTACAGACCACCTGTCTATAACTATCACTGATGTTAAAGACGACCTGTACATAACCACGATCTGTAACTTTTACCTTTCTATATCTACCACCCATCTACAACCACTTGTCTATAGCTAACACCTGTCTATAAAGAACTCCTGTAGTTACAGACCACCTGTCTATAACTATCACTGATGTTAAAGACAACCTGTACACAACCACGATTTGAACTTTCACTTTTCTTTATCTACCACCCATCTACAAACACTTGTCTATAGCTAACATCTGTCCATTATGACTACCTGTCCATAATAGCTACCTCTCTATACAGTCCTGTAACGACTGTCTATAACTAACATCAAGGATACCCCTAATGCTGGTTTTATATAACTTGTTAATTCTGTCACATACATGTATAACAAACATAAAATACTAGTGCTAAGTATCTAGCAACATTTCAAACGTACACTTAGCTGGCTGTTCTGTAAATTTAGTGATTTACCATTGTAATTCTGATGTTATCAGCCTTTATGTGAGTGAGTGTATCAAGTCATGTTCAGTATTATGTTCAGTACTTATAACAAATATCATAGAGTGTGTCATCGCCTGAACAAAGAAATCAACACGACAGCCACTGACTTTCTTTTTAGCAGACAATTTCCCATGATGTTATTATGGAGATTACCAATTTGTCCAATGTTAAAAATGAAACCAATCCTGCTCACCTGCTGTAAAATACATGTATCCTTGGTACTGTTCACAAAGCTTCGTTGCCTGCTTAATTTGCTTGAAACAGGAACAGGTAAGCACCATACGCTGGATACCTGCGGTTCAAGTAAATAAATCTGGATAAGGACTACAGTTATTCCACTACATAAAATGTGTACTTTTTATCTCACAACCACTGTGTTATACTGGCAGTATTTACATGTAGACATATAAGTCAATGAGTGATTAGTGTAACATTACCTAGCGAGATTGTAATTGGTTGTAATGGATTGTGGTGTCGTAATATGGACAGTATACATGATGCCGTACACTTAGAGATTGTGATGTTGCAGATACTGTTTACTGGGAAATTTTCGTCACAGTTTAATGCAGTTTTTGTTGCGTAAATTTTGCAATAGCCTGTTCCTTTATGAATTTGGAAAATATAGCATTATTTTGTACTGAAATTGGGAATATATTCATTTTGGGAAAATAAGGCACTTTTTAGCTAGGGGAAACAGCCTGTATTCGGCTGTAAAATTGAGCATAATAAATCACTGTCAGTAAATGTTAACCTTTTTTCGCCCTACACAATGAGGGTAAGTTTATCTTTACAGTGAACATAAATCAAATCTGATGGTTGAAATTAACATTGGGCGAATGAGAATTTTATCAGCGTATGGCAAAAGTTTTACTTGGCAAATTTCTCCCTGTATACAGTATTCCAATTCCTTAAAAATAGTACAGATTTAAATGTGTAGCAGAGGACAATATTTTTCAATGCCTCTGCTAGGAGTCGAAGCCAGGACCTCTGGTTAACTAGAGTGACTCTCTACCAAATGAGCTAAAAAGAAATTTTCCTGAGCCAATTTGGTAGGAAGAGGCTTGATATTTACAATGGTGGCATACTCCCCCTCCGAGAAAGAACTTTTCCCAAGTGTTTCAAGGGGAAAGAGTGATTCTTGTAACAGCAAGACCAAGTATTTTTGTCAATGTATCCCAGGTTCTTATATGGGCACCGATGTAACAAAGGACATGTCTTTTCAATGCCTCTGCCAGAGTCGAACCCTTGTACTGGTCCGACACTCTATCAAATGAGCTAAAGAGACATTCTCCCTAGCCGAGTCGGTAGAAAGCAGCTAGTACATAACAGGAACTAATCCCTCTGGTTTCAAACGTAAGAATCCCTGTACAACTCCCAAAAACTGTATCTATGAACAAGAATAGTTTTTTATGGCATGACTATTGCTTTGACAAATCGTTTCTAACAAGAAAGATATACCTTGCAAATTTTTAAGGAAAAATTATACAAAATGAAATAGCCAGAAAAGATTCCACAAGAGTTTCTGAGTTTAAGCCAGAAAAGATTCCTCAAGAGTTTCTGAGTTTAATAGTCTATGTGAAAAAGATTATAATTGCTTTACCCACCTGCTTCATCCGAGTTCTCCAAGATACCAGGTACGATCTTACTTCCAACATCCATGATACGATTACCTCCATCAATGAGAAGGTACTCTGAGAAAACGCCAGTATTCCAGATCTTGTTATCAGAAACTCTTTCAGAGACAGACGTTACATTTGGTTTAGGACTGACCCATTTAAAATCCTTTCTTAACAAATCTTTTCTCTTCTTAACCTCTTGTATTGCCATTTTTCTGTCACTTAATTTTCTGAAAACAATTGAAAAATGAATTGTCAATACATAAAATCTACATTATAATACAGAAAACATAGGATGTGCTTACTAGAGAGACAATAGATTTTTTTTTAAAAGCTGTCATATTTTTTAACCTCAAATACCACTTAAAATAGATACAACTGAAAATAGATATTTCAGCATGTGAGAAAAATATGTAGCAATAATGAACAAGTACCAACAAGGGGAACATGCAAATCATTGTGTAACATTTCTTCTGAGAAGCTTATTGTGTGTAACATTATCTCTGAGAAGCTTATTCTGTGTAAGATTTCTTCTGAGAAGCTTATTCTGTGTAAGAGTTCCTCTGAGAAGCTTATTCTGTGTAAGATTTCCTCTGAGAAGCTTATTCTGTGTTAGATTTTCTCTGAAGAGCCTATTCTGTGTAAGATTTTCTCTGAAGAGCTTATTCTGTGTAAGATTTTCTCTGAAGAGCTTATTATGTGCTAGATTTTCTCTAAGGTTAGATTTATACAGATCCTTTGTCATCCTTAAGTAGTCTCTGAGAAAAAAAAAGGTAACAAAATTAAGTTTACGAATGGGCTGACTGGTGGACATCAGACCAAAGACTAAAAGGATATTAATGGGAATGGCTACACACATTATGTGATCACATAGCATACAGATATTATCATGGATGACCAAATAGTTACAAGATATGGATCTCACATATTGTTAAATGAAGGTATTTAATGGGCAAGGCTACACACATTATGTGACATAGCATACAGATATTATCATGGATGACCTAATAGTTACAAGATATGTTTTTTACTTATTATTAAATGAAGGTATATCACAGGCTGCGGCACAGTGGTAGGGTATCCTTATGAATGCCTTTCTCAAAGATGGATTCTTGGAATCTACTGCGATATTGATGGCAATATTTGCTTCTGGCGGCTGACGATCATGAGATGCTGTAAAAAGTCTTCTCAGACTGGGTTCATCCACATCTGATCCAAGATTACCTGGGGAAAAAACATACTTATAATTAACAAAATCCTTCTAACTTTGATTTGAATATAGAAATTTAAGTCAGGTACATAGTCATCACATAAGTCTTCAACTTACTCCAACCAAATAATGATCCTGTAATGAGTCTTGGTGCATGTTGCAAATAAGCTTTTAAAACTATAATCTATCACATTTATCAAGCAATAATAAGCCCATAACTTGCAGTAGGCCTACCAATATCTATGTCAGTTCAGTTCGGTAAAAATGCAGACAAATGCTATTTCAATGTTCTGTTTAGTTCTCAATTTATCTGAAATTGAAATAAAACTTCAAAAAAATAATAATTCTGTTTCACTCAGTACTGCAGGATCCTTTAGATCTGCATTCTCCTCTTAAAGGCGATGCTTGTAATATTGATGTTCTTTATTTATCCCCCAATAACCCCAACACATACTGCATTCTCAAAGTAGGGATGCACTTTTTACAGAACATTGATAACAACAAATAAGACAAGTCATGCATAAATGCTATATACAAATAATTTTCCTTGGTAAAATAGAAAGGAAGAAGTGATACTTACAAATAATATACGAAGCATAGCTTTGAATGTTTTCCTGCTGAGTGACAATTTCGTCAATTGAGTTCCTCCATTTCCCCGCACTCCGATAAAATTGTATTATATTTTTGTAATAATGAAATAAGTAAATAACGTATTTGCGCTCAAAAACAAATAATATTATGCAGGAACCAATTACTGTGGTGATCGCACATATAAAAAGGTAATAAATAGCCAGTCCCCAATTCATCTTGATAATGCAACGAACTAGTCGACAAAGGCTTGGAAAAGACGGTTAAGACCGTCAATGTTCCTATAGTTTCCTCGATATTTTTGTCGACAGCGCTGACAATAATACATGTATCAGCTTCGGCAACTTGCAATGTTGTGTCACAATCAAAGATGTCTTTATACATTGGCAATCTTTCCTGTTGTTGTGAAACGTTTTCAAATCCGGATGTTTACTAATAATTTCTAAAATAAAAGCCAACCGCAGAAACCGTATTTTTACATAAGAGTTACCTCCCATGGAACGCGTCTCTATTTAAAAAATATGAAGATGACCGCACAAAATTGTGCAAATGATTTTAATCAGATTGAAAATTGTGGATAGCTCAATATTTTCGTAGAGATTCCGTCTAGTGTTTGGAGAGTCGGCCCAAGTGCGAACCCTCATGATCAGTGTACTCTGCATTTTCCAACACATGTTTCATTTGGCTTTGGCGGATCCAGAGGGTTTTTTTCGGCTTCAAGAAACCCCCAACCCTGATAATTTTCTTTCAAAATTGTGTGTTTTCCCCATTTTCCTCATGTTTTTTACTATATGGGCCCCCCCCCCCTGGAAATTTGGACACTAGCCGTCCATTTTTCCGCTCTTGTTATAGTGGACACTGGCAGTAGACATGTTTTATAGTGGACAGTAGACATGTTTTATAGTGGACAGTAGACATCTGTTTTCCAGTTCAGTTCTGCTTTAAAAGTATAAACCACAGGCATTTGTTTCTGTCAATAAAAGTCATAAGAAAAAAAATCACACCCTCTACTCATAAAATATACAAATTATTTTATGAGTAGGATGTGATTTTTTTCTCATTACTATTTTTATTGACATAAACAAATGCCTGTGGTATAAACGTATAGTAAGATGTTCCCAAACGTGGTTATATGGAATCACAAACCGAACTTGGACGATGTGCTCCGAGAAATGTGGAACAAAGCGACGAGGAAATGGTTGGGACATTCAAGTTAATAAGGTGTCCGTCCGTTCTTGCTTTAGGGAACAATGCTTGTGATGAAAAGAAATATATCTATTAACGATAATTACTATGACCACGGACTTAGATAACAATCTAATTTCGTGCTATTACAGATCTCACGTGGGCCTACGCATCGAGACATCTTTTCTGATATGCTACATGTACGTTCTACAATAATCATACAAAACTGTGACCGAGATAAATGGCTATACCGTATGGCTGATCTATGTATACTACTGTACTTGTAATTGTTAACAGAATATTAGAAGTCATACATAATGTTCACACAGAAATCTTTTTACACACTATTAAATCACATAAATATCACACTAAGAATTCACATAAATAACGCCATAAATGGTCGAAAATTCAATTACGTTTGATTTACGATTCTAATATTAAACATAATAAACAGATCTGCCAGAAAGCATACAAATATAGAAAAATAGGTGTATATATTTTTATTACATTCAATGGGTGCGAATGATGACATTAAATGGTTGTATTATATTGCTGTCAAGCTCGGCTGTACCATTTATGTCGATGCCCCATTACAGAACTTACGTCAGAGGTTGTATTTTAGTCAGATACAGAAATACCGTTCTACGTCTCTACGCGTACGTCTGCTGTACTGTTATAGATTTACGTGTTTACTGGGTTTTATGGGCCATTTTAAACGATTATTTGTCGTTTTTGTCTCAATCTCTGCCAATAAAAACTTGGGCTGTTCTTATTTTATAGTCTCCTTCAAAATGACAGGGAAAATGATATTTTCTTAGTTCAAACGTTTGGTTTGAAATTCAACTTATGTCGAGAAAAGACGCTTTGTTATAAGTAAATCTATTTTATACACAGGATCTGACATGAGTTTCCAATTCATATGAGATTTATGAAACGAGCCTTTGGCGAGCTAAAATGAATAATTCGTCACGAATTTCATATGAAATGAAAACGAGTGTAAGATCCTTTTTACCACATAATCAAGATTTGTGGCATTTATTCGTGTAAAACGACAATTTTCATGCAACCTTGAAATGTAAAAAGCCGCCATTTTGACTCCAGTGCGTAAGTCTGTGACGCCATGTACTTGTCCTAGTCGGGAGGTCACAATTGAAACTTAATAAGAGGGCTGATAGGGTGAAATGGGTTAATACGCAAAACGATATGACATGGGTATATTCACTGGATTACACAGTAAATATCTATATATATTTTATATTTATTGCTCAACTGATTTCCCCACAAAGTCGTCTCTACTTAAACCTAAAATAGTGAATCAGGAGGGAAAAGAATAGTAAGTGAAGTACACTAGATACCATGTTAAGTTTGCCCCCAACTGTAGTGAGTAACGAACCAGGGGGGAACCCGCCCCAAGATGAGTTTTAGGTAGCTAGGGGAAACTACACGTAAGGGGATGATTCATTGTAGTACAATAAAATGAAATCTAACAAAGATGGGCGGGGCGGGGATGGGGCCAGGGATAGGGGCTGAATATAGAGATGAGAGAGTAGGAGCCGATAAGGATTATGGGTAGGTTGACGTAAATAAAGTATGAAGGAGTTAGCTGTAAAATAGGAACTTGAGGATGAATTTGTATTAGTGAAGAAATACTGAGAAATAAGTGAATAGTTGGGAAATAACCGGAAGTGAAAAAAAAATGAGAAGGAAGAGATATAATTAAGAGAGAGTTGAAAAACAAGAGGAAGTGATACTATAAGTACGTAAGAGAGATCTGAGAAGAGAATAAATAAAAAAAAAGGGGGAAGGTAGTGAGAAAAAGGGAGGGAGTTGAAGAAGTAAGTGATAAGGGAGCTAGGAAATAAGTGTGAAACAAACTGAAAGGGTCGTAGTGGGAACAGTAAGCATAGAATAAGCAGGAATAACAGGAGAAAATATGTAGGAGGATGTTGAGAAAATAAGTGGGAGGAGCTTAGAATTAGCGGGAATAAGATATAGTTGGAAAATAAGTGGTATTTGATTTGAGAACAACCTGTGAATGAAATGAAACAAGCTGGAATGAACTAACAAATAATGTGAAGGAAGCGGAGAAATAGGTCAAAGGGGGGCTGAGAAATAAGTGTGCGAGGGAGAGGATACATAAGTAAGGGGGGGCTGAGAAATAAGTGTCCGAGGGAGAGGATAAATAAGTATGGGGTGACTGAGAAATATGTTGGAGGGGGTTGATGAACATGTGAAAATAAGCTGAGAAAATGGAGAGAGTGATCTGAAATAAGTACACGTAATATGGATTTGAGAAATAGCTGGGAATGAACTTAGAAAATAAGTAGTAGAAATAGTGAAAATAAGTGAGAGGAGCTGGACGGGGATGACAATTAAGTGGGTAGGTGAGAGGCTGGAATAAGTGGGAGGGAGTTGATCGAGAAATAAGTAGGAAGGGACTAAGTCGAAGATGTGAAATAAGTGAGAGAAGCAGAGAAACAATAAGTGGGATGGAGAAGAGAGGTATGTTGGTGGGTGGGTGGATAAGAGGCTGATAAATAAGTGGGTCGGAGATGTGAAATAAGTGGGAGGGGCTATGAAATAAGAGGAAGGAAGCTGAGATATAAGTGGGATGAAACAGAAAGTCATTAGAGGGGGGGGGGGGGGGGGGGTTCTGTGGTTTTAGGAGGAAAGCATATAAACCAACAATTTCAGTCCATAAAATGGTAAATGTAATTTTGTATTAACTTTGAATAGAATGATATTGTATATTGCTTACGTAAAATATCACCAGGTATTTATATTATCGGATCTCATATAAGGTACACGAAAGATATTCCTCACGAACACCAGAAGCAATTTTACTACAAAATACTTGGGGGGGGGGGGGGGGGGGGGGAGATAATTATTTCTGACGTCTGCTTGTTGACAGTCTAGCTTGTTGGTAAATATACCACTGACACAGTCAGCACATTCTCAACTTACACAACCCCTGGTCGTAAATAAATTCTCGGGGGCTTTGTAGCTGGTGTTTTGTTTTCATCCTGATCTACCAATGCGGTCTGTTTTTCATCTGTAAGCACAATGGATCAGTTGGTGGTCTCTGTGATGCCATCGCATGAGCTCTCGGGAGCTGTCTTTGGGGTTTCGGCAAGCCGGGGACGCAGAAAGAACACTGGCGGTCCTTTGCTCAGAGAGAATTATTCCACTATTACATGGGCACATCTAGTTGTGGTATCGTTATATATCGTCCAAACATTGTTTGTTCTATAGAATTTGGTTATGTGTCAATTGTAACAATAACATTGTACTTTCATTGTTGAATAACTTTCCAACACAAAGATGTGAGTATTTTTTTAGATTTATTCTATAAAATGTCGGCAAAAGTTAGTAAATTCTTCATCGTTATATGCGAAATTTGATCAGTTTCAATAATTTTTATCACCAGTTGATTGAACAAAATATTTCACAGCATAGCAATAACGTCCTCTCCTGAATACATGTAATTTCGCACTGGAATAAAGCAAACAGAAATGAACTAATTGAATGATATTATTTACACAAAAAAACGCTTACTGGAAAGAACCGCAAACCTTCAGGTCACACAATAAAACTACGTAACTGACATTACGTACAATTCCGACTCAGCCATTGTCCTTATACTTATCCCGTGAATATCCTTATACAAACGGAGCACACTGTCACACTCTTATTAGGATGCAATACACGGACTGAAGTTTACAGTAGCTATCAATCTTGCACTATTCAAAATGGCAGAAGCCCACTTGACGTTCGAACGTCGTTAGCAAAGCGTCCTTGCGTTCAAATATATTACCATAAACAACACTGCATGTCAAACCTGGGTAATAAATAGATTTATTTCCTTGTGTACGAAAGAATGGCTACGTCACAGCGAGCACTCGGCGTGTCAAAGTCAACTTCCCTAACACTCTGTTTGTTGATTCTTGCTCTCAAGAGGTGGTGAGCGTCGTTAAGTTCAACAGTCTCCAAATAAATCCTGGTGTTTTATTGTTCGTTGTATGGAAACATGGAGTACTCAGACATCCTTGTTATTCAGGTCTATTTTCCACGTCGCCGGTGAATGTTTCACCAACCATTTAGTAGTTGCAATATTGAAGTTTCCAATACTTCAATATTCCACACAACCTTGACCCCCTATGTGGACGTTTTACGAACAACAGAAATTAAAACTTTTGAAGGTTTTAACAATTTCTTAATATGTTTACCTTGACTTTGACATGACAACAGGTGCTCGTACTTAAGATTCCGATTTTGTGGTTTGCGTCAATATCTAGTCAAATCCTGATAGGCAATTAGTCTGAGAAAGGATCTGAACGATTCAGTGAACTATTATCATTAGAACACTGAATCGCTTAGTCGCTAAAGCGCTTTAGAGTAATTTTACAAATGATATAGGGCGCTATATAAATGTTGTATATTATTATTATTATTATAATCGAACTGGTGATTCAATGTATAGTTTGTGTGATTTATACGGCCTTATCTACAACTTCCGTGTTTCTGTTGCTACACCTAACAAACGGTAAAACTAGTCAGTGTCACGTGGACCTGTTGTGACATCAACTGGGCTATTTAGACATCATCGTGTCATAATAATATCACTCCAACTTCATTTTATTGCTTCTGTCATTTTAGAACTTCAATACCAGTTTACAGCTTCAAGCCAATTTGTCCTCTTTTTTTCTGGTTTTAAAAACTTGTCACAAGACATGCATGTCGTTTCGACATTGAATTGTATATGTCGTCATTTTTTTTAAACAAATTGTCTTAATCAACAGTTGCGTACCATTGAAGTGTTCCATACAGATATGAGCCTCTCTGTTGTAAGAACGTCAAACCCTCTATAAACAAGCTATCACAATCCTGTAGTTTTCTCTGTATGTATTACTGGTTTTCACATTACTCATTTTGGAATTATTCGCACGGTGTTTATTTATTGTTTTAATATGAAGACATCTCTGATTCAGTGATTAAAACAAATGGTATTCAGGCTCCGCTTTCAGAGGAAACCGTACAACATATCAGCACACAATCACCAAGAATATCAAACTGATGGAGGAGGTTGGCGACAAGTTAATGACGAGGACCTGGCAGATTTATCACTCTTGGAAATGAACTTTGTAATCCATCATCATTGGACAGCCGTGTGTACACTATAATTATTTAGATTAATCAATAGCTAATCACAGAGATAAGAGGCCAGCCAAACTACTCTTACACCTCTGTAAGCCATGGCACGGTTCAACAGAAGTTCAAACCCGCAGAACAGAAGTACTTATATCCGTCTTCGTCATCGATCTACCGGCACCAGTCAGAATCTTCTTTCTCGATTCGACAGAAGAGAAGGTGACCACAACCAAGATCCGTCATAGAAATTAAAGGAGAACGTTGTGCCCTCCCAACACATAATACAACAAAATAATACTACATTCCAGGGTCATCTTAATATTTGTTGTCCGCAGCATTCATTTAAAAATTACTCCAACCTCTATTCTCTTAGAAGTTTTTTTTTTATAAAATATGCAGTTTATACTATCATACATAACGATGTATTTTCTCTTCGAGTCAACTGAAACGCTTTTGAGATTTCTGGTACATGCAGTGTAAGAATGTACGTGATATAGCACGAGGATCTAGTTAAGCTTCGTTAGCCTTGTGATTAAATCCAACTTTTTAATACTTACTTATTAAAATGTGCAGAAATGTTAGTATATATTATTTACAGGTGATTTGTTTTAATAACATGCGTATGGCAATTTCTGGTCATTAAGATAATGAAGCTAGGTACACACAGCCTATGTTTGGTGGTACCTAATTGGACAGCTATGTTGACTTGGGCAATTGTTTAACAATACAGTGTGCAGTCTATAAGGTTGGTGTTTGGAACGGTTCAATAACATTTACCTGTCTTGATATGATAAGATATGATCTTCCCTATGTGCATAGTTAAATGCGCAGGATCAATTGTTTTTAAATAATAAAGTCTGATATTATACAACATGCAGGTTGTTTATACACTGAGTGAATGACTAGCTGGTGCAAACTCATTATCATATCAGCGTATCACTCTGGTTAGATTTCCAATATAAACAAACGTGAGTGTACATACTGATAGCCATCAGAGGGAACGCCCTCACCCAGCTGGACTGATAACCTATAACCCCCCTTACTGCTGTAACGAATTAGGTTTTATTAATGTAGTGTTTTACTAGTATAATCTAGAAGGTGCTGTTTGGAAACATTTACAATATTTTTTGAAGTTCTACTTGCTATTTGATCTAAGAAATCTCGGCTACATACTTTTTGTTTTAACATTTTAATTGACCTTGTATAGGCGTTTTGTATGTGCCAATCTACCTAGTTATGCAAAGGAGTAGCGCTATTGATCACAGGATCCGAAGACGGTGGATGCATGTCAGGTAAGCAACCACTCAAGCACTTTGATTTTAGTAATGTGCGATGAGAAATGCAGTCCGTGCATTTCGGTGAAATACTTAATTCACTATCCAAAAACGTTTATGATATTTAAGTGGGTTTTTTTAACGTTTTGATCAAAAACCTCGAATGAAGAAGGAACTTAATTAGAATTTGTAATCTTTGGTCAAAATCAAAAAGTGCCAAAAGCTTTAACCATTACATCGTTTTTGGTTAACAGGAAAGACACAAATTCACGGCATGGCCGGGACTCGAACCCCTGACCAACAAACTCTAGACGGACGCTCTATCCTACATCTGGCCCCAGGACCATGACACAATCTTAAAGTCTTAAGTTGACTTCAGTTTGGACTTAGCCAATCACAACTAACGTCATGAAAAGTGACGTCATACGTGATTGGCTAAGCAAGAATTTAAGTCTTAGGTTGTTTCATGATCCCGAGGCCATGCAGGTCATCGGCGATCAACTTACTCCGCTTCAGAAACGTTATTGACAGTTTCGGATCTTTTCTGTATGGTAGTCGGCATACTTTTCTCTTAACGTATGCTGGAACGTAGCAAAATATGTTTACAAAAGTACTCCCAAGAAACAAGCGGTGTCATTTGATGACTTGGTCGAAAACAGAATCTTCAGCATGCAAGATAGCGGCTATCGATCATCTTTACCAGGTTTTTGTTTCAACGTTTGCCATCAAATATCCAAAATATAACATGAGGCCAAAAAACGGATTTAGTTTGTTGACATTTTATTTAAAAATTATCTTACAATCCCAAACGGTTCTTCCTTTTTGATATGGTGATAAAAACTAAACATAAAACAAATCCAAAACGGCTTCAATATATCTCATTTCCGAAATCTTAAAATCTAAAACGGTTTAAAAGTAAGAAATTAAAAGTCAAATTGGTTTTAGATTTTTTTTAGTATTTTTATATTTTAAACAGAATCTGAATTTTTTAATATTCAAAAGTACTTTAGTTTTGGTTTAAAAAAATGGATTTCTGTTATTGAATTGAGTTGCTAGTTTGTTACAAGGACCTGTTCAGTGTTCATATGGCTGACTGCTTCTGATAAATTGATATTTTATAGGACAACAAAAAATTGAATCTAAAAATGTACTGTTTGTTTACATAGTCACACAAATATTGACACAGATTGCGTATCTTATTTATGATAATACGACGGCGATCAGCTCACACCCCGTAAAGTCTACAAAACGGCTGGTTCAGAATCTGATATGGTGTAGATATAGGGCTGGACGAGTCGGCAAGATTGTCCGAGTATTAACTGACCCCGTTACCTATCGACGGCGGTACAGGTGCCGATAAAGACAGTAATAGTGATATACTGTAAAGTACTTTTTAAATCTAGTCTAACCTTTAGTAAAACCCCGCTTCATTATTACCTCTTTTCCTGACACAACCACTAGGTATATATATATTGATACGCGTTTCAGTTACGCGCATCCAAGATGGCGCAGGTTCAAACGGCGAGTTTTGGTATACATGTAAGTGAATATTCATGTTGGGCAGTTAGATATGAAACACAAATAAATGTCAATTTTAATGCTTGGAAATATAACTATTCATATCAGATAAACTCGCTGTTTGTGCCTTTCGCCATCTTGGATGCAAGTAAATGTATATATAGTTACCCGGATTGATGTATCCCCAGCACTCGGAACTCCTCGGGTGACTCGTTTCATGATGGAGCGTAGCGGAGTCTGCCGAGGTTTGCCGATTGCATCCCCAGTACTAGTGACAATGACGTTGTAAGGATCCTCGTACGAAAAACTCTAACTATGCACTGAAAATCGATTTTGTCGGCATTATAAAAGCGTTATTAAAACATTTCCGAACAAAAAATCATACCTTGCGGGACTTCGATGAAAATAACAGATATGAATAAACACAATACAATCAACAACAGCGTTCTGTGTGTAAAACAATGAACGGGGCTACCCCGGGATTCAAGCCCTGGACTTTAGATGGCTTCACTATCGCTCTAACCGATTGAGTCAACGGAAGTGTCCTGGTGCAATTCTGCTACAGTTATATATCAAAAACGAAATTAAGGGGAAGTTACTGGCTACACGGTTTGGAGTTTCATCGAAAGATAAGGAAATTAAAATGAAGACTCGTACAAGTATATAAATACCTGCCGATGTCTTGAAATGGATACATTTAAAAATGGAGTATGTTGACTTTATCTTTTGAAACACGTTCTGTTGTGGTATATTGCACTATTGAAACCTTCGTATATTTAACTTTGATAATAGCGTTACCGCTTCATCTTTCTGCATCCTCATCATCCCCATCCTCATTCATCACTAAAGAATAACCAATAACGACATTGATATCAACATCATAAGCAACATCGTCACCACCTTCCTACCAGATCCCTACCTACCCTGCTACCTGTGGTTTTTAGCTTCAGTCTTGATTATCCGTAATAAATTCAACAAAGTTATAAATCCAAATTAACTCACTTTCTCTTTATAAATAAATAATTGGGTGGAGCTACAGCCCCTTCATTTGTTTTAAAAGTAGAGAGTTATCCTGGACTACAAAATTGTGTGTAATAGGATCACTATGCACCCCGTTTTCATAAATAATTCTTAATTCAGGCCTGCCCCCATCCTCGCATTCCAGGGGTTACGATCACCTACGTATACGCTCTCTACGTGTAGAAAGCGTAGGTGATCGTAACCCCTGTAAATCGAGGATGGCCTGCCACCTTAAAAGGCATAGTGCTGTAAGTATACCTGTATACATTTCTCCTAGGTATACCTGTAAACATTTCTCCTATATAAAGATTTTAATCATTTTGATTAGTTCTATTAACACCAAATTCGATACACTAATTGGTAGTTTTGCAAGAATTGATTCTGAAAACAATGGTCAAGCTACACTGACCGCATCACCTAATCAAGTCCTCAACGAGTCGATAAACCGTTCCAATGTCCTGATCCATAAATAATTTCTGTGAACGCACCATAAAAAACTAATAAGTTCTCTCGATAACGATTACTGGAAAACTCGGAATAGATAAAAATGGCAGCCAGCACCTTAAAATGATGAATTAACGATGAAACCAATACTCGGTGGCTAATAGTGGCGGCCTTGATCAAGGGAATATATCCATTTCTGTTGACCAATCAATATGTCATTAAGAGCGTCTCGGGAAATTACCCCTAATGACAACTAGCGGGGGAATTACAAAGATGCTGGCGTAGACTCTATTAAGTAAAGCATGATACCAGTGTATACGTTCATAGTCTTGCTCAAGTCACCGGTACTTGTCTGATGACGTTCTTTCTGCTTCTGTAGTAAGTGTTCTCTGAGGTTGTTGTACGTTGTGAATCTTTGATATGTCGATAATTAGACTATTTATTCTGATAAAATATTAACGTATAGTTTAATTGACCTAGTAAAACCAAACTGATTTACCAAATGTTAGAACAGCCATTTTCGATGGAACAATGCGTGTTTTCTATGGTTACTAATCGGAAACCATTCGGGAATTTCCGACATAATTTTGAATCTGACGCCACACCATGATTGGTTACCGATTACTTTAAAAGACTGACGAATCTGGAGTGGTTTTAGCGTCCTGTTAACAGTCAAGACGTGCCTCCGTCTGTAATGTAAGCGTGTGTGCTGGAGGTGGTGTGTTGGAGCATTTGCCTCCTTGCGATAGTGCGGAGTACACAGTATTTCATCCGGTCACATTATACTGAAACGGGTAAACCGAGTTGCTGTGATTATCCTGTTCAGCAGTAAATAACAACTATTTATAAGAACTCTGATATTTCCCTATCTGGGTACAGAACTATTGCCTTTCCCACTAGGTCGAACGTTCAACACTAAGGCTAAAAGTGAGGCATTGCCAAGCAAGGCGTTATGAAACAAAAAGGTTGTAAACAAAAAGATATAAATAAATCCAAAATGTTTTCATAGGAGGAGCAGATGTATTTTGGTCGGTTACTAGGCCCAAGTAAAAGGTACAAAAGGAAATCCCCAATTATGGAGGGAGGTTCCCACATTAGTCGCCCTTCACAACATGCCTCGGGTAACAACAGGCCACTCTTTTCTCAATCCCCGACCCACAGGTGAAGTTTGACGGAAAGACCCGAACAGTTTCCGATTAGAAAATATTAACGTGTAATAATTATTGCTGTTATTAGTTCATAACAACATATGTTTGTTTAATGAAAAAATGTATCGGGCTGCATCCCAGCCAAACCCATGGCCATATGCCCTAAGGTTCTTGAGAAGAAAAAGTTTTTGGGAAAACGTAGACCAAAATCGTCGGGGGCTGCACCATCAAATGTTATGTTTATTGCCGATGAAATACCAAAACATAATCCAGCAGTTATCAAAATACTGTGACCGGAGGAGATGTCGTGTGGCGTGTCATGTGACCGTATCCATCTTGTGACGACATTTCGACAGTGGAAACCATCGTCATACAGACTAGTAGACCAAAACACTAAACAGTAGTCAAGGATTCGGGCTCCTCGTATATATATTTTAAAATATAGTCATAAAATACTTTGTTGAATACATCTTTGTCCAAAATTTCCTTATGATTTACAGGCAAATATCGGTGCATATGCAATCTTACAAACGAGCTTCTGAATTTTGAACGAGTTTGACACTATGTTTCCCAGAAACGTTAACAAATTACTTTACATATCACATTTTTAAACACAAATCAAATAGAAAATATCTAGAAAAAATCTATTGGAAAATGATTGGTACACGTGAAGAGGATCTTTAAGCTAGTTTCATCATACTACAAAGGCAGTTATATATATATATACCTCGTTATAATGCCCCTCGCGTATTGACCATATCGATCATTGCTGATCGTTTTCTCTTCTTTTATCTTCGATATATATTACCACACCCTTAATAGCGTCATGATGTTACACACACGTTGGCGGTATAACGAGGTTTACTTCATGAAGCGTATATGGAGCAT